ATCATGTGGTTTTTCTTTTGAAGCTTGTTTAATGGTGGATTATATTGATAGATTTTCATATATTGAACCATCCCTGAATCCCTGGAATGAAGCCTACTTGATCATACTAGATGATTTCTCTGATGTATTCATGGATTTGATTTGCCAATATTTTATTGAGTATTTTTGTATCAATGTTCATGATGGATATTGGTCTGCAGTTCTCTTTCAGTTATAGGTCTATTTAAATTGCTTATCTGTTCTTGATTTAATTTTGGTAAGTGATATATATCCAGGAAATTGTCCATTTCTTTTACATTTTCGAATTTTGAGGAGTACAGGTTTTCAAAGTATGGCCTGATGATTTGCTGGATTTCCTCAGTGTCCATTGTTATGTTCCTCTTTTCATTTTTGATTTTGTTAATTAGCATGCTCTCTCTCTGCCTTTTGGTTAGTTTGGGTAAAGTTTTGTCTATCTTATTGATTTTCTCAAAGAACCAACTATTTGTTTCATTGATTCTTTGTATTGTTTTCTTTGTTTCTACTTTATTGATTTCAGCTTTCAGCCCTCAATTTGATTATTTCCTGGTGTCTATTCCTCTGAGGTGAGTTTGCTTCTTTTTATTCTAGAGCTTTCAGCTGTGCTGTTAATTCTCTAGTGTAACTATTCTTCAGTTTCCTCATGTGTGCACCTAGTGCTATGAACTTTCCTCTCAGCACTGCTTTCAAAGTATCCCATAAGTTTGGGTATGTTGTGTCTTTGTTCTCGTTGAATTCTAGGAAGTCTTTGATTTCTTTTTTTTATTTCTTCCTCGGCCCAGGAATGGTGCAATTACACATTGTTCAATTTCCATGAGTTTGCAGGGTTTCTGCAATTTGTGTTGTTGAATTCTAACTTTAAACTGTGGTGAAACGATAGGATACAGGGGTTTATTCCAATGTTTTTGTATATGTTGAGGTTTACTATGTTGCTGAGTATGTGGTTGATTTTAGAGAAGGTTTCATGTGGCGTTGAGAAGAAGGTATATTCTTTTGTGTTTGGATGGAATGTTCTATAGATGTCTGTTAATCCCAGTTGGGTCATGACTTTTGTTAGTTCCTTTGTTTCTTTGTTAGGTTTCTGTCTGGTGGTCCTGTCTAGTGGTGAGAGAGGGATGTTGAAGTCTCATACTATATGGGTGTGAGGTTTTATGTGCCTTCATATTTGGGGTATAGATGTTCAGAACTGAGACTTCATCTTGATAGACTTTTCCTGTGATGAATATGAAATGACCTTCTTAATCTCTTTTGGTTGATTTTAGTTTGAAGTCTAATTTGTTATATAGTAGGATTGCTACACTAGCTTGTTTCTTGGGTCCATTTGATTGGAAAATCTTTTCCCAACCCTGAGGTAACATCTGTCTTTGAGGATGAGATGTGTTTCTTGTATTCAGTGGAAGGATGCATTTTGTCTTTGTATCCATCCTGTTAGCCTGTGTCTTTTTTTTTAGGTAAGCTAAGACCATTGACATTGAGGGCTATTAGTGACCATTGATTGTTAATTGTTGTTTGTTTTGGTTTTGTTGTTATTGGTGGTACTGTGTGTGGATTTCCTTCCCTGTTTTCCTTTTGGTGTTTGATATTGTTAGGGATTTTCTTTGGTTGATGACCGTATTTCCTCTGGTGATTCTTCAACAGTTCAGATTCTCTCTTCCATCTCTTGTATTCTATTGGTTATACTTACATCTGTAGTTTCTGATTGTTTACCCAGCTTTTCTATTTCCAGCACTCCCTCAGTTTGTGTTTTCTTTATTGTCTCTATTCAGTTTTCAGGTCTTGAATTGTTTGAATTGTTTCCTTCATTTGTTTGATTGTTTTTTTCTTGGCTTTCCTTGCTTACTTTAAAAGATTTGTTGATTTCTTGCATTTTTTGGTTTATGTTTTCCATTTCTTTAAAGGATTTTCTCATATCTTCTTTGAGGGCCTCTATCATTTTCATGAAGTTGTTTTTAAGGCCATTCTCTTCTGCTTCATCTGTGTTGGGATGTTCAGGACTTGCTGGTGTAGAGTCCTTAGAGTCTGGTGGTGTCATATTGGTTTTTCTGTTGTTGAATGTGTTTTTATATTGTCGTCTTCCCATCCCTTTTTTCCAGTGGGTGCACGTGGGGTCTCTTCCTCTCCTTGTGAGTAGGGGTCTAAGGTTCTCTTCTGGTGGGTTCAAGCAGGTGCACTACTCTGATGGGTCTCACGATGGGTGCAAGTGAATCTGAGACACTCTAGGCAAGGGGCAGGCCCAGGAAGATAGAAGGAGGGGGATGTAGGGAGTTGGAGCCCCCGAGCAGAGTCCACCCCATTCCTTCTATTGTATCTTTTGTGCCCAGGACTCTCTCTTCACTGTCTTGCATTCTTTTGGTGAAGCTTGTAGTTTCTGCTTAAATTCCTAAATTCTTCATTTCCAGAATTCCCTCAGTTTGTTTTTCTTTCTTCTTTTCCTATTTTCAGGTATTGAACAGTGTTTTATTTGTTTCCTTCAACTGTTTGTCTTTTCTTGGCTTTCTTCAAGGGATTTATGCATTTTTCCCAGTTCTTTGTACTTCCCTGGACTCCTTTAAGTGATTTATTTATTTCATCTAGTTGTTTGTGTTTTCCCGGACTTCTTTAAGGGATTTCTTTATTTACTCTTTAAGGACCTCTAGCATCTTTAGGTTGTTGGTTTTAAGGTCATTTTCTTGTGTTTCAGCTATGATTGAATATTCGGGGCCTGCTAGGGTAGGATAGCTAGGCTCTGGTGGAGACAGACATAGTGTTTTTATGCTGATGTCTTTGCATCTGGGTTTGGGATGTTAATTTCTGGATTTGTCTTTGTTGGATGGGTGTTTTGTTTCTTAGTTTCTGATTCCTTTCTGGGTTTTTGGAGAATGTGATTGCTGTGTACTGTGTGTTTTACTGACTGGCTTAGCTGGTATGTGCACAGGTAATATCTGCTGGTGTTGGAGGCTGGGATAGAGTGATGAGTCAGGGAGGTGGTGGGGGTCGGTGTAATTTAAGAGGAGATGGTCTGTGTGATGGGCAGGGGCGTGGTGCAAAGGGAGACTGCAGCTGGTGTTTTGTTGCAGTGCAGTGGGTGAGACTGAGGCATCTGGGAGAACAGAGAGTGAGGAGGAGGTGTGTCCTGTGGTTGAGCAGAGGGTGCCTGCTGGATTTGGGGACTGGGATATATGAGCGGGAGTGGGGGGAGGGAGGAGATGTTAGGAGGGGATGGTCTGTGGGGTCCACAGGAGATACGGGCAGTGAGGAAAGGAAATTGCAGCTGATGTTTGGTTGCAGTGCAAGGGATGAGACTAAGGGATTGAGTCTGGGGGAAGAGATAGATAGATAGATAGATAGAGAGAGAGAGAGAGAGAGAGAGAGAGAGAGAGAGAGAGAAGGAGAAGGCTTGTGGGTGCTTACCTAGAAGTTTTCTCTTTTGAAGGGAGAGGCTCTGGAAGCACATAGAGGATTGTAGAGACAGCACAGGAGTATAGGTGGGGGAAATGCTGGTGATGCCCTAGTAGTGGTGTCCACACGAGTCTCTTTCAAAGCAGACAGCTTGCTCACCATTTGTTAACTATCAGGCATTAGGCACACTGACTGAAATCCACACAGACCTGCTTCCAAAGAGATGCCTATGGTGGAAGTGATGGGAGGGGGGCAGAACTGGCTGAATCATTCAGTTCTCATCTATGCTTCTTCTTCTTCTTCTTCTTTTTTTTTTTTTTGGTTTTTACGAGACAGGGTTTCTCTGTATTGTTTTGGAGGCTGTCGGTCCAGCCTGGCCTCGAACTCACAGAGATCCGCCTGCCTCTGCCTCCCGAGTGCTGGGATTAAAGGTATGCACCACCACCGCCTGGCTCACCTATGCTTCTTGAGAGCCTGTTATGGTTCAGGACTGTCCTAAGCACTGTAGGCTCAATGGTAAAAAGAACAAGCTAATACTTCTATCTTCAGTTCTTTACTTCCTAGTAAAGAAAGAAAATGAGTAAGTTGTGCATAGCCGGGGAGAAATGCTAAGGACAAAAATAAAGCAGGAAAATGTCGGGGAAAGTTGACATTTTAGAAAGGCTGACCAAGAAAACTCTGACTAAAAAAAGGTGACATGTGAGTCAGGATCTGTGGGATGCGCAGGAATGAGCCAGCAAACTACCTGGGAGAAATATTCTAGGAAGAAGGAAAACAAGTCCGGGGACAGGAACAAGATTGATATGCCTGAGGAACAGCAAAGGAGACAGTATAGACGGAGCAGAGCTAAAGAGGTCACTACTGGACATGAGCAAGGGAGGAAATGGCATCTTGGCCCTGGAGTGCTTTTTAGGTCACTGGAAAGACTACTTTTTCCCTGAGTTATGTGAAATGCCTTATGGAGGGCTCTCAGGGCAGAGATGATAGCATATGCGTTAATTTTGGAGTGACTGCTTTGTTTAGTAGTTCAGAGCAGAGGCAAGGATGGAAAACTAGAGACCAGTTAAGAGGAAATTATAGAAATCCAGGTGAAAGGTGGTGGTAGCATGGGTGGATTGGAAGGAGCAGGAAGTGTAAGGGTTCAGAGAGGAAGAAAGGGAGGGGGGTTATTTTGGGGGAAAGGCCAGGGATGAACAAGGACCAGCAGAAACATATGTAAAATTGCAGGCATTGCACTGTGGCTTATGAAGAGGGCACGAGAAAGGGACTATGACAAATACATTCAGGAAGTAAAGGGCTGCTAGGTCATGGTTCACCTTGAATGGTAGGTAGTGCTACTGTATGTCTTCCTACCTTAAGCCTATAAGGTTTTAATGTGCAGGGGCCCTGAGAAGAACTAACTTGCCTTCTTTACTCATTTTATTAACTATAAGCCTTCTTACTACCATTCTTATGAGTTCTCTCTCATAGTCCAGGCATTTACTCTTGGAAATGTTCTTTATTCTGTGGTTTGGAAAGCCACAAAACTTTCCCTCCGATAGTTTGCTTACTTCCTCCGTTTCAACCTTTGTGCTCACACTACTCACTCTTCCTTCTGTGTTCAGACAGCAGTGATCAGAGGGATGAACAGGCCACAGCTGCCTGGGCAGAAGAAGCCCCTTTGGGGTCATGGAAATGATCTTCTACAAAGGAGGAAACATCCTACATCATAAAGTAGAATGGCACCATCCCAGGAGATCTGTAACCCAACACTTCAGCCAAGTACCAAACAGATGCAGGTGAGGATGTCCTCTGATTGGCATTGGCAGCCATGTCTTCCTACCCCTTCCCTGGTCCCAGGATCAACCAACAAGGCGCTTCTGATGTAGGGTGGGGTGAGGGGACTGTAGTCTTTGTTGATGTGGATGGGTGTCTGTCTCCCGAGGTTTTCTCTTGCCACAGAGTAGGTCCTATGTCAGGTGGATCAGTTGGAGGGTTGGGAGGACTTGGCAAGAGTGACTGGAGCCCATCCTGGAAATCTTGGAGCTTGTTGCAGCCACAGCCAGCTCAGAAGTTTGGAAAGTGTCCTTTCCAGGCAGTTCTGAGCCTCTTCCAGGCAGCTCAGATGGTCTGGGAATGTCTTTCAGCAGTTGTTACTGCATACATATATACACTTGGGGAAGAAGGGGCCTAGAATATCTGGTCAGTTTCAGGGGCTTCCTGAAGTCTATGAGTTATTTTCTTCCTGAACTTATGGAGCTTTCCTGCAGGATGGGATTTTTTTTACCTCTCTTTACAACACGATGTGTCTTAATAATGAACTTTCCTCTAAAATAGATGGTTTTATCAGTAGGTAATTTCTACATGGCATCCTTAAATAGGTGTGTGAGGCTAGAGAGGCCTTGTAACTAGGACTGTAGTCTTGCTATTAATTTACACTTACTTTATGACTCCCAAGAAGTTGCTTATTTAATTTTAATCTTAAATTCTCTCTCTCTGGAGTATAGGACATTCATCTCCTCAAACACCTTCCAAGGCAGTTGTGAAACAAGGAAACAGGTACCACTTGAATGATTATTCTGTTGCTTACTGTTATGCTCATTGTTAATAAAAAGAACTGATTGATTGATGTCAGGGCAAGAAGAGTTTGGGTGAGATAGCCTGATGCAGAGAGAGTGATGGGAGAAAGAAGGATGGAGTCAGGGAGTCACAGGAGACACCAACCAGCTGCCAGAATGTGTAGAAAATGAGGTAACAATCCATGAACCACATGGTGAAGCATAGATAAGAAATAAAGGTTGATTTAAGTGTAAGAGTTATCTAGCTAGTAACAAGCCTGAGCTATCGATTGAGCATTTGTAACTGATATTAAGCTTCTGAGTGATTATTTGAGAGTGACTACAGAACAAAAAATGTTTTCCTAGTACTTATAGAGATTCCAGCTTGACAAGGTCTCAGTCCATCAAAGAAAAAAAAGGATTCAATTGCTTGTTTGGAACTTTTGAGTCAGATATGTTTTGGAAGGATACATTTTTCTAATTGTAGAAAGAATTATGGAGACTGTTGTTTTTTATATATTTTATTTTTAAATTTAAATTTAAATTAGAAACAAGGTTGCTTCACATGTCAATTCCAGGTCCCTCTCCCTTTCCCTTCCCTCCTCCGGCGCCCTCCTACCAACTCCCCTCATTTCCCCAGGGAGGGTGAGGCCCTCCATGGAGGTGTCCATAGTCTGTCATTTCATCCAGGGCAGGGCCTAGACCCTCCTCCAAGAGTCCAGGGTGAGAGTGTATCTCTCATTGTTGGATGGGAGCCCAAAGTCCATTTGTATACCCGGGATAAATATTGATCTACTACCCAAGGCTCAATAGATTGCCTAGGACTCCTCACTGACACCCACATTCAGGGGGTCTTGATCAGTCCCATGCTGGATTCCCAGGCATCAGTCTGGGATTCAAGAGCTAACTCTTGTCAAGTCAACTGTTTCTGGGGGTTGAACCAGCCCAGTCTTAACCCCTTTGGTCATCAGTCCTCCCTCTCTGTCACTGGATTTCTTGAGTTCAGATCAGTGCTTAGCTGTGGGAGTCTGCCTCTGCTTCCATCAGTCACTGAATGAAGGTTCTGTTTCCCAGACTCTCTGGCCATGGGATTGTAGGCTGGGACTCCCCAGATCTATGTCTAAAATCCATATATGAGGATTTTTAGACCATCCTGAGTGGAGGTAACCCAGTCACAAAAAGAGAAACATGGCATGTACTCCCTCACATATGGATTTTAGATTGTGTTGTTTATTAGCAGGCTATCTCATTACCAACCACATTTCAATGGCAGAACTGACTATTCATATAAAATAAGCTAAAGAAGGGTTATAAATGCCATATGTCACTTTACAGCAAACTTTTAAAAAGTTAAAAAAAACCAAGTGAGTTAAGTAATGGTCAAGTTTTTCTACCAAATGATTTGTGAAAGGACTTTTGATTTTTAGCATTTTCTGGGCTTTAGAAGCATGTGTTGGCTTTCGGACCTGTAGGATTAGGTAGTTTTGGAAAAATGGAGGGAACATGCTCTCAAGTCCAAAGACCTGTGGGTGAACTTATGTGTTACTGTTTAAGATAAATTGAGTGATTTTTGGGAGCAACTGCTCATATATCTCAATTTCTGGCTATAACACATGTGAACAATAATTCAGAACTATTATGACATTGAAGGAGCAGCACACAAGCATGCCTCCTAAGCTCTCTAAAGCTGTCTGAGTTCTTCACTTCAAAGGAAGAAGGCTTTCATTTGTTTGGCAGTTACTTTTTGGCCAACACTGGGGGCAGAGTGCATGTGGCATGTCCTTAGCCTTAAGGAAGCTAAAGGTTATTATGAGGTTAAAGTTGCGTTATGTGATTTGAGAGTTGAGATTTCTTAGGTCTCAATAATGAAGATGGTTTACTTCACATAATAAATGCATGGATAGGACTTGGTAGTTACTACCTCAGAGCTTGGGCTTGGTAGTTAAAATGTGATGGTAGCTTTCCCCACAGTTGGAAAGGCAAAAGGACAGAGAATTGTGAGTGTATGTATTGTGTGTGTGTGTATGTGTGTGTGTGTGTGTGTGTGTACTTAAGAGGGAAAAACCCTGCCTCCAGATCCCAAGCAATCTCTATAGCATTGTCAACAAGTCAGCAGGGTTGGGAGTTCTAGGCCAGCCTGGATTATATACTGAGCCCTCCAACTCCCTTATTTTTGTTAATAGAAGCAAAGTTGATATCTATACAAGGCTTTTCTAAGAGGGAATTAAAACTCTGACATCACCCCTGAACTTGTCACACAACAGATTTTTTAAAAAAATCTTTTAAAATTAATTTTTATTTAAATTAAAAGCAATCTTATTTTACATACCAATCCCAGTTCCCTCTCCCTCCTGTCCTCCCATTTCCCTTACTAATACCTTATGCCACCCCCCCATCCACTCCTCTGGGAGGGTGAGGCCTCCCATGGGGGAATCTTCAAAGTCTGTCACATCATTTGGGGTGGGACCTAGGCCCTCCCCCATGTATCTAGGCTGAGAGAATATCCCTTCATAGGGAATGGGCTTCCAAAGCCCATTCGTGCACTGGGGATAAATACTGGTTCCACTGTCAAAGGCCCCATAGGCTGCCCAGTCCTCCCAACTGACACCAGGTTCAGGGGACCTGGTTCAGTCCTATGCTGGTTCCCCAGCTGTCAGACTGAGGTCCTTGAGCTCCCACTTGCTCAGGTCAGCTGTTTCTGACTCCTTGATCATGACTTCTCCCTCTCTATAACTGGATTCCAGGAGTTCAGCTCAGAGCTTAGCTGTGGGTCTCTGCTTCTGTTTCCATCAGCTACTGGATGAAGGTTCTAGGATGGTATTTAAGGTAGTCATCAATCTCATTAAGGGGGAAGGGCATTTAAGTTAGCCTCTCCACTATTGCTTAGTTCTTAGTTGGGGACATCCTTGTGGATCCCTGGAGATTTCCCTCCATCTATCAAGGTATCTCTTTCCTTGCTCTCCTTCTATTCTTTCCTGAACTTGACCTTCCTGATCCCTCATGTTCTCCTCCCCTAGCCCCTTTTCCCTCCTCTTTATCCTACCTTCCCCCTCTTCCCATGCTCCCAATTTGCTCAGGGGATCTTGTCCCTGTCCCTTTCTCCTGGGGTCCATGTATGTCTCTCTTAAGGTCCTCCCTGTTTCCTAGCTTCTCTGGGCACAGGCGATTCTTTATAAATGCCACTGAATGGTTCGTCTCTCCTAATCCTCCTGGCCCCAGGAAAAATGAGAGATATTCACATAACTGATGATGAATTTGGAATTCATAACACTTATTTTACATAGCATTTTCATTACTTTATATCAAAACCCAGGAGAAAGGTTATCCTTGTCTTAATTAGTTTCTATTGCTGTGAAGAGACACCATGGTCACAGCAACTCTTATAAAGGAAAACGTTTAATTGAGGCTGTCTTATGGTTCTAGAGGTTTCTTGGTGGGAAGCATGATGGCACACAGGCAGGCATGGTGCTGGAGAAGGAGCTGAGAGTTCTACTCCAAGATTGGCAGGCAGCAGGAAGGGCAAGTGAGCCACACTAGGCCTGGCTTGAGCATCTGAGACCTCAAAGCCCACCCCCTGGTGACACACCTTCAACAAAGCCACACATACTCCAATAACACCACACCTCCTAATAGTGCCACTCTCTGGACCTATGGGGGCATTTTCTTCCAAATCACCACAATGTAAAGTTATAGGATTTGCAGTATATTGTTGTTAGAACATGAAGGGTCCCGCATAGGTTGATGTGTTTGATCACCTGGTGGTGCTATTTGGGAGGTTATGGAGCTGTAGGAACCTATCCAGTGTTGCACTAGAAAGGCTTGATGTTTTATAGCCTGGACACACTTTCTGTACCTCTATGCTTACTAAACAGCAGAGTAGTCTTAAGCTCTGCTTCCATGGCCATGCTTTCCCCACCAGGATGGACTATATACCAAATAAACCCTTCCTCCCCTAAATTGCCTCCACCCACAGAGACACAGGGTGTGGATCTGGTGAGGGGCCAGCCTGTGTGATGTTTTCCAATCTAAGCATTGGTGAGTTTGCTGATGCTTCTTTCCATCATTGTTGTGTGGAAACTTACTCCAAGTTGAAACATTGCATCCTGGGGCAGGGGATGCCATTAAGACTTCTGAAATTCTAAAGGGAGGCTCCTTAAGATTCAGGAAATAACTCAAAAGAGTCAGGAAATCACTGAATCTTACCAGATTCCAGTGCCTTTCCCTTCCCAAGGAATACTCAAAAAACAAGGCTCTCTAATCTGTTGTGCATCCTTCGAGTCATCCTCAGGGATCTAGGGCTCTGGCTTTCATGAGTTGTCATCTATGCTGGGGGGAGCTTCCAGGGATGCAGCTGCCTTTTTGTCTTCCATGTTCCTGTAAGTGACATATTGTAGAATATTATTTTAACTAGGCAAAAATGTGTTGTTCCCTTTGTTTGTGCTGCAAATATTTAATTATGTAAAGATGTGTTGCATTTGCCTCGCCTTGCCTGACTAAGGCAACGGATTGGCGTAATAAATAGCTGCACAGTCGAAGCTAGGCAGTGAAAGGATAGGTGGGGCTGGTGGTCAGAAGACAACAAACAGGAGGAGGAATCTAGGTTCTAGAGAAGAGAGAGAATGAGAGAAGAGAATGAAGAAGAAAGAGAGGGACACGCTTGGGATTAGAAACCAGGCCACCAGCCAGCCAGCCAGGAGAAGCAATGAAAGTAAGACATACAGAAGAGGAAGGTAAGAAGTCCTGAGGCAAAACAGAGATGAAGAGAAACAGATTAAAATAAGAGCTAAGACAAGGCCGAGCATTCACAACTAATAAGAAGTCTCCATGTTGTGATTTGGGAGCTAATTGTGGCCTTAAAGAAAGCTACAGTAACACCTCATCCATACTCTAGTAGGTAACGCTAATAAACACACTTGCTTGTCAAGTGACTTTGGCAGTTTGTTGTAGAATCTCTTTCTGGGTGAGTAGACTTAACATTCATGTCTTCTCAGGAATAGTATC